CCAAACGCTGCTCAAGCTGCCACAGCCTGCTTCCTGACGAAATCCACCCCTTTCTCAATACTCGCCTTCAGCTCCGGCTTCAGCTCCTCCAATCCCTTACTCTCATACTCCGTCAACCCCTCGAGATCCTTCTTCACAAACCCTTCCACCCCTTCCCTCCCAATCTTCACCCTCGACGCGAAAAACGGCAACTCGGCCACTACGCTCGACTCAACATACGCAAACTCGTAAACATCCGTATCCCCATCAAGTGCCCTCAGAGACGACTCCAAAAACCGAGCCGCCGCGTAAGCCATCGACAGCGTGGCAGACCCCGCGCCCGCCTTCGCCTCCACCACCTCCGTCCCCGCATTCTGTATCCTCCACGTCAGCTCCGCCGCCTCCTCCTGCGAATAACTCGTCAAGGGCCTCGTCTTCGAAAGCAGGGGCAAAATCGTAATTCCGGCGTGCCCCCCGACAACCGGCACGTCCACATCAATCAGCTTCAAGCCCTTCTTCTCGGCAACGAACGTGTTCGCTCGGACCACGTCGAGTGTCGTCACGCCGAAAAGCCTCTTCGGGTCGTAAACGCCCTTCCGTTTTAGCACCTCGGCTGCGATCGGGACGGTCGAGTTGACCGGGTTGCTGATGACGTGGACGAACGCGTCGGGACAGGTGTCGGCCACGGCCTCGACGAGGCTCTTCACGATGTTGGCGTTGATGTTGAAGAGGTCGTCGCGCGTCATCCCAGGCTTGCGCGGGACGCCGGCCGGAATCACGACGACGTTGGCGTCTTTCAGGCAGTCGGAGAGCTCGGAAGCTCCGGTGAAGTCTCGGACGGCGGACGGGGTGTTGCAGTGGCTGAGGTCAGCGGCGACGCCTTTCACGTTGGCGATGTCGTAGAGGTTGAGGGAGGAGACGAGAGGGAACATTTTCGCGAGGAGGGCCAAAGGCTGGCCGATTCCGCCGGCTGCGCCGAGAATGGCGACGTTGAAGGAAGCTTGGGTGGAAAAAGGCCGTTTTTTATGGATTTGTTTTGAGGAAGTGAAAGTGAGGGTTTCGGGGGATTTGCCGAGGAAGGATGAGTTTAGGCGGCTGTGGGTTTGAAGGGAAGGCGTGGGCCGGAAGTTGGGGTTGAGAGTGAAGGCTCGGGATTGCATTCGGTGGCCGGAGATGGGAGATCCGATCGAGAGTGTGGTTGCTGATGTGGCCGCCATCGAGAATGAAACCTGCGTGTAGATTGATCGGGATTGTGTGAATTTTTTTTGGAAATAGACAAAATGAAGCTACGAATAAGGTTCATCACAAATCGGCAATTGATATACAATGAGTAAAGAGTGTACATACACACCTAATAAAGAGAGATTGTCATTTCAAAATAGCTTTCGGGGTTTTTTTTTTTTTNAGATAGTGGAAAATGCATGTTAGTTAGTGTGTGATTTGGGGTTACTAAACCAGGCTGGGAGAGCTTCTGCAGAGATTTATAGTTTAAGAAAAGGAATTGATTCACTGACATTAAAAAAAGGCAGTTGAAAATCAAGAGAGTAATGTTTGCAAATACTGGCTAGCTAAAACTTGTATTAGTGCAAGTGGGACAAGTCAAAAGGTTGTAATATTGTTCATCTGCTTGGCAAAACGTACAATCCATCCATCCATCCCCAAAGCTTTTAGATTTCGATCAACCCATACAGAGACAAAAATGGAATTGACATATGGAAATAATAACAGCTTCTTCTTTTTCAGCCAGGAAGTTACGTATATATAGTGATTGCAAACAAACTCTTAGCCTAGTAAGATAACAGTCAAATTGCATTACCTCATATTATTCAAGCAAAATTCAATCCCATGTTCTGGTTTGAGAAGAAAAGATTAGAACATATTTACTTGAAGACAATTTATCAAACACCTTCAAAACATCTCCAACTAAGACATCTTTATTTGTAATATACACAATAGAAATTAGAAAATGCAAGATACTCAGAAATCTATGCCAGAAAGGAAGCAAAACCCACGACTAAATGAGCTTTTACCATGAATGTTCGATTCACTAACAGCAGTCGTAACCCAATAACCTACAGTTTCTGTTTAGAATGCCAATAAAGTTCTACACAGCTAAACATATACAACCCAGGACAGAGTTTTTTATGCCCTGAACAGACACAATCACAAACAGCAAACTCCAAAGCTAAAATGCTTAACCAGCCCAAAAACTAATCAAAACCTACTTTAGTCTATTGAAATCAGATTGAACAGCATGCATTGACAATAAAAGGGAAAAGAAAAACAACGAGCCAACACAAAATCGACCGCGAAATAACAAATTTCATTTCAATCAAACAATAGTTTTCAGATCTATGGCAGACCACAAAATCCCCGTGCTTGAAACTAAATACGCAGCTCACAGGAACTCATGAACCTTCCAAATCAAGAGATAAATAAGGCGTAAGCTCAATCCAAACGCAAATTCACAAAAACATCACAAACGCAACAGATTTATGCGCCAAAATATGGTAAATTAAATCCAGAAAACAGATGAATTAAAAAAACTCAGCAAAAAATGAGATAATCTGTGAACAGTACCAAGAAGGATAGATATATAGAAAACGCACCTTTTCACACGCACAAACACGCTCTTAGTGTGTAAATTCAAGGAGGATTGGGATTAGGTCAAGCTTTCTCCGCCGCAGGGCTTTCGGATCGAATCTACACAGAGCACTTGTGTACTTGTGTGTGTATCTATAGGTTTACCAGTGAGTCAGTGACAGTAAAGGCTTGGAAAAACACAAAATGTTGGTATTTATTACTTTTTGTTGCGTACCCACTCGATTTATCAATAAATGTGACTTGATTATTTAACAAATCGAGCCGAGTCCAGAATACTCAAGCTCAAACTTCAGCTTTTGTCGAGACAAATTTGAACTCGATTTATTAACAAAACAAGTTTATTTAAATGGAAACTTAATCTTGAACCAAATTCAAACTCCACTCATTAACTAAACAAGATTATTAAAGTTTGAATTTGACTCGTTTATTTAGCAAGCTGACCCGAATCCATAATACTTATCAAGCTCAAACTTGAGCTTTTGTCGAGTCGAATTCGAACTCGGCTCATTAAATAAATGAGTGTATTAATAATTGATTCGACTCGTTTATTTAACAAACTGAGCTGAGTCGAGATCACGAATGAATTGTTTGCTTTAATTTGTTAATGAAATGCATAGAATAGGAATCTTTTTTTTGGAGTCGGGTTAGATTCTCTTTGGAAAGATCGTGGCCACACATTGTGGAGTTGGGATCTACGGTGAGGATTGCTTCTGTTGGAAAATATTAGTAAGTTTAGCTTGGTGACTGAAGAAGAGGAAGGCGAAAATTCTTAACTGCCAACGTTTAAAACAATTATTCCATAAAAGAAACTGACTATATAGAATTCCACAAACACTTGATTGGTAGTTAATCTAACTAAACCGACAAAAAAACAGGAGAAAGATTTCTTAAAAAATGTAACTGCTGTTTATTAACTGCTATTATTTTTTATTTGTATAAAATCTAAACTCGATCTAAACTATGAGCCCAAAAAACAAGAAAAACACATACTGGAATCATTCAAATAACCCAGGAAAAACCTCATCTCTTCTCTTGAGAAGAGAAAAATGACAACAAAAGAATTTGATATTAACAATACAATTGCCCAGGAAAAACTCTATTCTAAAATAACCCAAAAAAAAACATGATATTTACAAGATAAAATATATGATATAGTAAATATCACAACAACAAACAATCACCATTACAACAGTCCATAAACAACATGAAAACAACTTCAAAATAACATTTCGTAAAAAATAAAAAATAAAAAACCTACTTATTAACATCAACAAATAAATGTTATAAAAAAACTGAAAACCCAATTTCTCATCACCGAAAATTGAAAAATACACTAACAACATGCGGACGAGATCTCAAACGGAATATTACCTCAATCGACGGTGGTGGTCTCTCTCGTCGGGTGAACGGGTGCGGGATCGGTCTGATAGAAAAGATTGGAAAAATTAGATCTGATAGAAAAAGTAGATGGAGATTTGAGGGAAGGAGACGGAGATCTGTGAGTCAGTGGGGGATAAATAAGAATTAAAAAATATATATATAAAAACAAAATAAAAAAATAATAACTGTTATTGAGTATAAAAATGAAAATCAATAATCCAGTTTTGACTTAATAATAAAATATTAAATTAGTGTAACAACTATTTTAAAAAGGCCATGGAGTGGCTTTCGATTGTTTATGGCCCTTTAGGCCCACATAGGGCCTAGGAAAAGTTGTGGGTCAAAATCATTAGGGCCGACCTTTTCTTTGTTGACCCAATCCAACATAGGAAATGGTAAAATAGAGATTTGACCTTAAATTCACAGTTATTTTCATTTTATCTCCTGATTAAGTTTCCTTCTCATAATCTATATCTATATCTATATCTATATCTATATCTATCTATATCTATATCTATATCTATATCTATCTATATCTATATCTATATATATATAAAGAGGTTGTGGGAAAATACATTAATAGAAAGTTTGACCAAATAAATATAATGTTTGACTTACTACTAATGGAAAGTTCGAAAAAACACATGTAAATCTTTAGAAACAAAATCTGAATCCTATTTTTTCGGTAAGAAATTTGGAGATTCTTATGGTAAAATTTGAATCCCATTTTTTTAGTATCATATTTTATTTTCTTACGAAAATTTAAATCATATCTTTTTTGGTAACAAATTTAGAGATTCTTATGCAAAAAATGTGTCAATTATTTATGAAAACAAGAATAATACAAATCAATTTAAAAACCGTGCAAATTAGATACAAATTTACGAAACAAATAGTTGTATAATTTCTAACCAATTCTTCCAATCTTAATGAATAATTTTTTCTTTCAAAAAAAGTGTGTAAATTGGTTAAGCCACGTGCAATTTTTATTTTAAAATAAAACTGATATTTGGACGGGATGTACATTCAAAATTGTTCCCACATTTTTTGGTAACAAAAGCGGTTCATCTTTTAGAATAATTAGTTGCACACCATATTTAGAAAGTTTTAGATATTTTAAATCATAAAATAGGGTTAGCATTAAATGCCCCTAAAATTATGGGTTTTATTCAATTCATTTTTGAAAATTTCGACAGATGTTAAAGTGAATATGAAATTCAAAATCTCTTCTCATTTTATTTTTAATAAAATCTGCATCCAAATATACGTGTGGTTTTGAAGTGAAAATTTGAAATTCAAAATCTTTTCTCATTTTAGTTACAAGAAAATCGGACTGCATTCAACACTTGGATCAATTTAAAAATTATTCCTTAAATGAAAAAATTTATAGATAATTGTTATCTCTACTCAATCACATGATTATTTTCAATATAAAAAGAGACAGATTACAAATTAGTGAATCATATATTACATAATTCAATATCTTAACTTAAGGAATAAATTTATAATATTATGTAAATCCGTATCTCATATAATTATATCATTAAGAATATATTATAGTTATATTATCAAATCTTTTAAAGATATTAAATCCATATTGTAAAAAAAATAATTCATATAATTTTATAACAATTTTACTACACTATTTAACAATATTTGTTTGTCCTATTTTTGTTGCATTTTTCGTGTTTATTTTATCTTTCTTTTTCCCCCATTTTAGGTCCTTTCTTTAGTTTTTAGTCCGTTTCATGTTTTATTATGTGTTTTCCTTCATCTTGAGTCTTTAGGTGTTTTTCATTTGTTTTTCCGGTTTTCTTTTGTGTTTTGTCGTTTTTGGTGTGTAGGTCAGGAGCTTCGAGCGAATTTTCTCTTCAAGAAAAGCTGGTTTTGAGAGCACAATTGGATAGATGGGTTTGTTAGTGACACGTAGCAAAAAACGGAACTCAATTCCGAGTTCGGATGAGCCCAAACGAGCCCGAAACGTAAAATGGCGCAGTGTAGTCCAAAGTCGCGAGTCGCGAGAGAAAAGTCGCGACTCGCGAGCCTACGTCGCGACTCGCGAGAGCAAAGTCGCGACTCGCGACTAAAACAGAGCCTCCGACCAGCTGCGCGACCCCACGACCCGTCCGACTCGCGACTCGC